CTCAGGAGTAGAGAACGAAGTAGAGAGGAAGCCTGCGAGGGCCTGGGCCCATGTAGCCTGCTTGTAGGGCGAGAAAGCCCAGAGCTGGCTGTGGTCCGAGGACTGCTGGCTGGATGCCCTGCCTTTTTTGTCAAACGAGCACTGACATGAAAGTCATCTACGTTTTGGTGTGCTGATGGGAATCCCACGAATAGCTCCATCTTGGGGCCAGAAAGTTATTTCAACACCTGGAACCCGAGGAAGGGAATTCCAGGGAGCACAGACCCCACCGCCTGTGGCTAAGCTGACCCAGTCCAAAGTCACCAGAAAGCCTGTCCCTGCTGGCGAGGATGAGAAAGGGTGAAGGAAGCTGATATTTACTGAGGGTATTTTGGGCCAGGTTCTGTGTTGAATGCAACTCACTAACCGTTTGTACACAGCTGACTGACCATGTGTCGGAAAGCAGTGGGCGAGGGTGGGGCTGCAGTGGCCACTTTTCACCCAGCTGCTGGTCACTGCAGCAGAGAGCAGGCACTAAACCGGAGGGAGTCAGCCCACCCTGAGGGGCTCTGCTGGATGTGGGGAAGTGGGTGGGGGCCACTTGGGCACCAAAGGAGGTAGAGATGTGAAGAGCTGTGGTCTCAACAAACAGAGGAGACTGGACTTTACCATTGGCAGTAGTTGCATCCTTTTGATAACTGATGTACAGAAACCATACACCTAAGTGTGTCTGAATGGACAGTCTTTGACGTGACCCGTTTACATCTTTTTCTGCCATATTTTTCCTTTTCTTCTCCCTGCTTCCCTTCAAGGAGAGAGAGCAGATGTTTTTCATTTGGCCCAAGGAAATTATTGCACAAGGCTAGAAGCAGAGGTTGCCTGCAGAATATTTTCCTTCTTGTCTTTGGTGATTTTGAATCTGTACCCCTAGAGCAAGGAGTGAAGTTTGAAGGTCCTGGAACAGTGGGGGGGCAGCCAAATCCCAGAGGAGGTGTTTGCATGGAGGTGGTGTTGTGTCGCCAACCCACCACAGATCACATGAGGTAGGAATTGTCTTCATTTTACAGACCAGACACTGAGACGGTTTGATGGTGCAGATGGCATGAGGAAGCATGCCTATGACGCCGCCAAGACACACGGGACAGAGGCCTCCCTCCTGGCACTGAGTTCATCCTGTCCTTTCCCTGTATACCTGTCCGAATGGGGGTGCTTACTTCCAAGCAGAGTTGCCCTCTATCAAACTTCTCTCGATCCTTTTCCATTTGGGGTGGATCTTTTGGGATGGTTTAAGTTTCATTCAAATGTTATATGTGACAGTTAAATAACTGAATTGTTTCACACTCATCTTGTGGTTCGTTCAGGCCCTCAGAATCTTTTTTTTTTTTAATCATTTTTAAAATCATGTTTACACTTCTGTCTTTGTCTCCTCAGATGACTGACTTTCTTCTGTGGACTAAGTATGGTCGAGATTTAATGGACACCAGGTAAACTGCAGTGGATTTATACTGAAAAAGATTGTTTCTTACATCTAATTCCTCGAAATCCTTTTCAGTTGATTTCCACCCAGTTTAGTGAGGTTTTACCTCTGTATTATTTACTCATCCATCACAATACAAGACTCCATTCATTCCTTCGATCTCCCTGGAGCCCTTTGTGAGTGTCAAGTAGACTCACATGCTCCGCTGTTTGGAACAGAATGAAGTCCTGCTCTCTTGGCCTCTGCCTGGGCCCTCAAAGTGAAGGTGAGAGATCACTGACCGCCAGGTGAGCTGACAGATGGTCAGGTCATGCTAGATTTACAGAGGACAAACATGTCTGATGCCTCTGGTTCTGCCCTTGCTGTGATGAGTGTGTGTGTGCAGGGCTGTGGGAGGAAGCAGTTAAAATGCAGAACAAGTACAAACACAGAGTTCCACCCCTAGCTACTCTTTAGAAATAGAGATAGAGATCTGCAGTTTCTAGTGATAACTGAGGGAAGACTGCAAGAAAAGGGAAAGCAAGATGAACTAAGATTCTCATAAAAGGTAAAGCTGAGGGCAAGATTTAAAATTCAGGTCTCAAGAGGATGAAATCATATACACGGAAATGATCCACAAGTGAAATATTGCACAATAGGAGAACAAACTGTTTCCTGTTCTTGGAAAAAACATTTTCCTCACTGCCCATGGACAGTGTCAGGTTTAGAAGGAAAATGCCATTCCTCTGTTGACCTCAGAGGGGCAAGACCAGTATCTCCAACCCCACAGCTGTTGTTAACATGGAACATTTAACAAGCTAGCAAGTAGATGCTTGTCAGATTCAGATTACCTCTATTAAACGCGTCTCAGCTCAATGACATTTAAAGAGGTTTCCCCCGGCAACCAGAGTCTAAACTGTCCCACAGGTGTAGACGGAGGTCCTCCTTCCCGACTTGCTAGGAGCTGGGCTGAGCTGAGCCGAGGGATGTCAGCCCGCCAGCAGGTGGCAGTGTGGCTCAGCTCCTGAACCAAGATTTTCACCCGCCTCTTTGCGGTCTCATCCTCTGCTGGCGGAGGATGTGATGGTTGGATAGCATCACTGATTCAATGGACATGAACTTGGGTGAACTCCAGGGGATGGTGAGGGACAGGGAAGCTGGTATGCTGCAGTCCATGGGGTCGCAAACTGTTGGACACGACTTAGCAACAACTTTGAACAACAACTTTGTGGTCTAGAGACAAGTTAATCTTTCATAGCCTCAACTTTCTTAACTGTAAAATGGGGATGTTCCAGCTGCCACAGTTACCCTGAAGATTAAATCAGATAATCTATGTGAAGTTCCTAGTACAGGGCTTGGCACATGGCTTCCAATAACTGGCAGTTAATGTTAAACGGCTGAACTGAACTGAACTGAACTGAATGTTAAACGGTATCACCTATGAGCACTGATCAACTTCTACCCGGAAGGTACCATCTTGGTTGAGGACTGCTGAGGACTTTTTAAAGGAAGTTGAATTAAGCTAACATTTCACTAACTATAAAGTCACTGGTCAATTATTGTAGATTTCTTTCTCTGATATTATGAAGGATGAGCTGGTCAACTTTTGGCGGGGGGTGGAGACATTGAAAATGAGCTGTTCTAATTAGCTAGCCCTCTGTTAGACCCTGCCTGAAATCCCAGGTTGGTATATTTTGATATGCCCATAGGGTTTAACTTTGGCAGTTGTTGTTTAGTCACTAAGTCATGTCTAACTCTTTGTGATACCATGGACTGCAGCATGTCAGGATTCCTTATCCTTCACTGTCTTCACTTCACGGAGTTTGCTCAAACTCATGTCCCTTGAGTTGGTGATGCCATCCAACCATCTCATTCTCTGTTGGTCCCCTTCTCCTTCTGCCCTCAGTCTTTTCCAGCATCAGGTCTTTTCCAATGAGTCAGTTCTTTGTATCAGGTGGCCAAAAGACTGGAGCTTCAGCTTCAGCATCAGTCCTTCCAATGACTATTCAGGGTTGATTTCTTTAAGGATTGACTAGTTTGATCTTGCTGTCCAAGGGATTCTCAAGAGATTTCTGCAGCACTACAGTTCAAAAGCCTCAATTCTTCAGGGCTCAGCCTTCTTTATGGTCCAACTTTCACATCTGTACATGACTACCGGAAAAACCATGGCTTTGACTATATGGACCTTTGTTGGTAAAGTGATGTCTCTGCTTTTTAATATGCTGTCTAGGTTCGTTATAGCTTTTCTTCCAAGGAGCAAGCATCTTTTAATTTTATGGTTGCAGTCACCATATACAGTGATTTTGGAATCCAAGAAAATAAATTCTGCCACAGTCTCCATTGTGCAAATAGTCTCCATCTATTTGCCATAAAGTGATGGAACCAGATGCCATGATCTTAGTTTTCTGAATGTTGAGTTTTAAGCCAGCTTTTTCACTCTCCTCTTTCACCTTCATCAAGAAGCTCTTTAGTTCCTTTTTGCTTTCTGCCATAAGGGTGATATCATCTGTGCATCTGAGATTATTGGTAATTCTCCTGGCAATCTTGATTCCAACTTGTGCTTCATCCAGTCTGGCATTTCGCATGATGTACTTACTCTGCATAGAAGTTAAATAAGCAGAGTGACAACATACAGCCTTGATGTACTCCTATCCCAATTTGGAACCAGTCTGTTGTTCCATGTCTAGTTCTATTGCTTCTTGACCTGCACACAGGTTTCTGAGGAGGCAGGTAAGGGGGTCTGGTATTCCTACCCCTTTAAGAATTCTCCACAGTTTGTTGTGACCTACAAAGTCAAAGGCTTTCGTGTAGGTCAATGAAGCAGTAGATGTTTTTCTGGAATTCCCTTGCTTTTTCTATGATCCAGCAGATGTTGGCAATTTGATCTCTGGTTCCTCTGCCTTTTCTAAATCCAGCTTGAACATCTGGAAGTTCTCAGTTCATGTACTGTTGAAGCCTAGCTTGGAGAATTTTGAGCATTACTTTGCTAGCGTGTGAAATGAATACAATTGTGCAGTAGTTTGTATATTCTTTGGCATTGCCCATCTTTGGGATTGGAATAAAAATGGACCTTTTCCAGTCCTGTGGCCACTGCTGAGTTTTCTAAATTTGCCAGTATATTGATTGCAGCTCTTTCACAGCATCATCTTTTAGGATTTGAAACAGCTCAGCTGGAATTCCATTACCTCCACTAGCTTAGTTCCTAATAATGTTTCCTAAGGCCCACTTGACTTCACAGTCCAGGATGTCTGACTCTAGGTGAGTGGCTAATTTTGGTGGTTGTAATAAAGCTGGGTTAAAATGCCCGGGTGCTGTGGCAATAACCAAATCTCGGTCAAACACGGGTCAGGTTAGTAGGTGTGAAAGCTGGTACTTCTGAAAGACAGCACCTATGCTGTCCGCACTCAGGTGGAGTTAAAGTCCCAAAGGCCTTCAGAGGAGGAGAAATGTAGGCCCTCCAAGGAGAAAGGGTTGCCGTGGGAAGAATCCATCTGATCTTCCTGTCTGCGAACGGGTTGACCGGGGGAACAGGAGGATTTATCAGCCCTAGAAGGGTCCTGCAGCCCTACTGTGCGTCTGGGCCTGTGTGGGATAACAGGTTACCAGGGGCGTGCGCGGCCCCCGCCGCCGTCTCCGGCTCCAGGATGGAGTTCCCCGTCCGGCCGGCGGTGGGCGCGCGCCCCGCCAGGCCGAGGCGAGCCTCGTGCGCAGCCGGGGGTCCCGCGGTCTGGCCGCCCGCTCTCCCTGCTCTGTGGCCGCGGTCAGCGGAGGTCGGCGCTGCCCGCTCGGGGTCCGGACGGCCCACCCCGCCCCCGCCCCGCCCGCCCGGCCGCCGCCGGTCCCGCTTGGAGGGGGATGGGGAGGGTGGAGAGGCCGGCGGACCGCGAGGCAGACGCTGCCGCAGCGAGCAGGCCGGCGGGAGACAGACGGCGCGGAGGCGGAGACGGCACTGTCTCCCGCTTCCCCGCCCGGCGTTGCGGACCGGCCAGCGAGGCCGGGGATCCCCTGCGGATCGGGGAGGAGCCGCCGCCGCCAGGCCGACTGCGCGTCCCGGGAGCGTGGAAGGGGGCGGGGAGCGCGGGGAGCCCGGGCCGATCCGGGCCCTTAAAGCATCCTGCCGTCCCCCGTCGACCCCGGGCGCTCGCCGACTCACTGCAAAGCCGCGGCGGCAGGTAAAGACAGACCGGGTGCTGCGGCGTCCGGCGAAGTTCGGGGCGGGGGCGCGGGCGGGAGGACGGGACGCTGGAACGGGATGTCCTCGATCCCTGCCGTCGGCGCCCTCTCCAGGGTCGCGCTGGGCACTGCGGCGCCCGGCGCTCCCGGGGGCGGGCGCAGGACGGCGGCCCCCACCGAGCCGTCGGCTTCCTGGTGCCCCGCGCGGTTGTGCGCCGCCGCGGCGCGGTGGGGGAGGCGGGGTCCGCGGGCAGGTTGTGCGGGACCTGCCCGAGTTTGCGGGGCGGGAGGACCCTGGACCCCGCGCTTTCGGGTGTTGCGCGCGCTGCGCCGGGCGGGGGCTGCAGAGTCTCCCGCTGGTCCGGGCGCCGCTGGCCCTTAGACTGCGCCCCGAGCCCGAAAAAAAGGCAGGCGTGGGCAGGATTTCTGTGACCCTCGCGGCGGAATAAACAGGAAGCGACGAGCACCCAGCCCGGCCGCCCCGCTTTGTCGTGCGGTCTGCGGGGCGCCGCGCGCGGGATGCCTCCCGGGACCTCGCTGGTTGCCCGGGGGCTGGGCGCGCCGGGTAAGGTGGGTGCTGGGCCGCTCGCCGTGCCGGCCCCCAGGGCATCAGCTTGGTTTTAAACTTTTTTCCTAATTGGAAAAGGAGGAGGCTACCGATGAGGCGGGGGCGAGGGGGTTTAGGAAGACAACGAGGACCGCGACAGGTGGGGGGGCACCTGGAGAAGGTAGGGGTTTGGGGCCGCTTGCCGAGTGAACCCGGGCGGGTTGGCACAGCCGGAAACTCACCAGGCTCAGGAGTGTCCGTGAGTGCGGTGGATTCAATAGCTTAAGTTTTGTTTTCCCCGTAGACTCTTTTAATTAGCTGAAATTGGATATTTTTGATTTGCTTATTTCTCTTCCTCTGTGTCCCATCTATTTTCTTCTCTTTCTTATTACTTTGGCAGCTTCACATCTCTGGACCCCTGGCTTGTAGTTCGGTGCTGTGTTCTAAATGTGGGTTATGACTGTGATGAGTATTTTTGGATGCCCTACTGTGTGTGGGCATTGTGGGACGAGGGAAGTGAGCTGCACGGAGCTGGTCCCTGGAGCTGCTGTTAGTAGGCTTCTTACAGTGGAGGTGGGTGGCCTGAAGATCGGTGCAGCTCTTCCTTTAAAAGGAAGATTCCTTTGAAAATGGCCCTTCTGCCTGTTGGGCTGACCCTAAGGGTGATCTCCAGTCCGTGTCCCCTGGAGTGGCACATGGTCCTGGTCACCCTGCACGGAGAAACTGCCGGGGGTGTCCTGTCAGGTCTGCGTTTTCATAGGAGAGTTTAGTCTTTCCAGGGCTTATACTGTGTGTGCTGTCTCCTCTGCACAGCTGCCCTTGGACTCTGCACAATAATCTTGGAACATGTTCTTTATGTTCAGTGAAGGGTTGTAATGTTAAATTTGAGTCATTCCATGGGCGAAGGAGTGGATCTTATCCATGTACATGTATTGAATTATAATATTTGGTTTCCTGTCAACCCTTGGATGGGTGCCCTTTAATGGTCCTTGCAAAGAAGTGCTTTTTGGAACATGGGGTATATTCCTCATGATCTTTTAGAGCTTAATTCTTTTAAGAGCTTCCCTTTGCTATTGACATTGAACACACTGTTAGGAAATAGGGCTGAGACTGTAAATGCCAGTGAGGGATTTGCTGCTGCAGACTTGGAGCTGCCTTCCTCCCTTGTTTTAAAAGCCGCCCACCCCCGCCCCTGCCCCCACCCCCAATTTCTTCATTGTTGCTGTTACCCTGGAAGAGTCTTGGCTGTTGGTGGAGTCTTCTAGTTGGTGGAGGCTTGTATTTATGATGGAGAAAACTGTCCCCAGCAGGCTTTTAGGGCTGTCTCTCGAATCCTCTCTGGGGCTGTTTGCATGACCACAGTCTTGCAGAGGAACCTGGCCTGTGGCACCTGTTTACTAAAGGATTTCGTGCCAATTTGGTGTTCTATCATTTGAGAGTCAGAGTCTCCCGCCCCCACTTACCAGAGTATAAACATACACAGACAAATTTCATTACGCCCCCACTCCCCCCGCCCCCCACCCCCCAGACTGCTGACAGTACTCTAAGAATAGTTTTCTTGCCTGGCACTGAGAGCAGTATCCACCTGCCTGCAAAGGTGTTTACAGTCCTGGGCTGCAGTCATGGTTGACTTAGCAGCCTGGCAGAGCGGCCGGTGGCTCGTGGGATGCAATCGGCTGTTCCTTGGGACTGCTGGAGGGGCACCTCCCAGCCGGACAGGGGAGCCTAGGGAAGTGACAGTGACTTAGCATCCTGGGCGCTGTGGTTCCTGGCCTGTGGTCCAGCAGAGACCCCTGAGCTTGTCTGGATTCCTGTGCAGTCACCCTCATGGTCTGGGCAGGAGGTACTCAGGGCGTGGGGCATGGTCAGTGGCACCCATGACTGCTGGGTCTTCCTGGTAGCCCTTGCAAGTTTCTTTTCATCTTTCTTCTGTGTCTGGGCTTATGGTTTCTGTGAGGTGTCTGCTCTTTGAGGTGAGAGTTAATACAGAAGAAAGAAATGAAATGATCTTTCCATGTTAAGATGGAAAATTTTTAGAAACATTTGATGCACTTCACATGGATTATGGCTGTTAAATGTGAGCAGTGCAGAATGGTGTGGAGTGCCCCCCAGTGGCCCTCTGTCCCTGCTTCCACCCCCTACTTTTAGGGGTCTCAGGACATTCTCCAGTCTTCTGATGTCAGAGTGACTTTCTGCCTTCATGTTATATGTTAGTCTGGAGTTATACTGTGACCTTGTACCCTGGGTGTGAAGGAAAGTGAAGCTTCAGTTTTTAATAGCAATAATGTATAGCTTCTGCCTCCATCTGAAACTTTAGGTCATGAGATTTGCCACATCTTAGGGAAATTTTGTTGACATTATTAGTTTCATTTTTAGGCAAGTCAAGTAGGGGACACAAGTGAGCACCTGTATTAATTGCTGTAGAAATAATTGGGTTTGTAATTCAAAGTAATACTGTTTTTCTCGCTACCATAGGAGGATGTGAAAATAATGCTTGTGTTGTGTCCTATCCATGTGATTTGAGTATGGATTGCTTTTCTTTGAATTTCCACTAAAAATGGTACTTTGGCCTTTTAAGCTGTTTTTGTAAGAACTTTTCTTTCCCCCAAGCTTGTTTTCCAGATAAGTCTTGGAAATTACGAAGAACATAGCTATAATTTCTCCCTTGATTGGCAGCAGAGAGCTTTCCCGGACAAAAATAAGGCTGCTCTGTGCCAAATGGTTGACTTTTCTAGAATAAAAACTCTAAAGGGTTTGCAAAGAGTCCTCTGGTTAATATATTGGCATTCCCAGAACCCACTAAAACCCGGCAGCCTGCCAGACACCACTTAATGAGGACGCGGAGTGTCTGGCTCAAATCCCCAAGAGCAGAAGCGGGTGGGGGCTGCTGTCCACACCCTTTATTCATTTTTAATGACCGTACTTTTGTTTTGCAGATTTTGTTCTGCACCCCTCAAGACCCACAGCCGTGGTGCCGCCCCTCCCCCATTCATTTATCTGCGCGTTCACTTGGCATTGGAAAAGTGTGGAGACTTTCAAGGTTAAGGATCCTGGTGAGGGATCCTTTCTGTTTGCGGGAGTTCTTTTGTGGTTGGCTTTCTGTTTTCTCATTCTTCCTCCCACCCCCCAAACCCGGTCTTTATTTTGGAAGAGGAAGAGAGAAAAGGAACAGAAAGGAGATGACAACTTTTTTTTTTTTTAAATGATGCTTTATTGTCTCCTGGAAAAGCGAAGCATTTATAAAACTTTAAGTTTGTCAGACAGTTTATATGACAGTGCAAGTTGGTGCTTGCCAAGCTCCAGACAGATTGCTAATGTTACATGACAGGGGAAAAGAAATTACCGCTGTCTGCGAGCGGTGGGCGGGGCCGGGCACCCGGGAGCCTGCAGCCTCTGCAGTGCGTGGGGTGCGTGGGGGTGCGTGAACAGCCTCCGCCCGCTGCCTGGAATTCTTCGACTTGCTTTGGAAGGAAGAAGGGTGTGTCTCTTGCTTTTATTTTCGGCAGGGCTGCAGGGCGGCAGGAGCCAGGGAGCAGCTCTGTATTTTTTCTGACCTGGTGACGCTTTGCCTCGCGGGCGCCTCCGGGCCGCACGACTCTCCTTCGCATCAGGGGACATGATTCCTCATCTTCCTCCCGGGGTCCAGCTTCCGATGACACTGAACTGCGTTCTTAGCCGCTCAGGTCCTCAGGTGTCTCGAAGCCAGGTTTATGGCTGCATTGTTTCTGCAGCTGCAGAAGTTGAGAATCGGTTGCCCGAGATAAGGTTGGGAGCTGCCTCGGGGAGGGGGCTGGTGGCACTCCTTAGGCACAGTGTACTTTCATCCCTGGCATGTGGAGAGTCAGCTGGCAGCGTGACAGGTGTAATGAACTTAATGGACTTGCTCTAGTTGTTGGTGGGGACACTGCTCGTATTACAAAGCCAGCTCCTAAGTCGGGACTCTGCCAAAGGACTTGCAGGACCTTCTCTGTGCAGACGGGATCCAAGGCCTGGCCTGGCTGAGAACTGGGTGCTTGTGAGCCACACGGTCCCTAAATGGACCCAGACTTTCTCTTCAAAGGAAGGCTGCTCTGTCTAATCTCCCCACCCCTATCCTTCTATGCATATGTTGGGGTGTGGCCCTGCTCCTGGGATTGCAGAGTGCAGGCTCCCAGTGCTGCCTCCTTGGTTCCCCAGGAATGGCTGGTCAGTGGTCCTGGGGCCAGCAGCTTCCGCACAGAGTTGAGAGGGAATTTCCAGAGTGAAATCCCCTGTTCTGAAGGCGGGAGGCCAGGCTGTGCTTGGAAGGGCTCCCGCGGCCAGGGGTCAAAGTGGTGGGGGAGGCAGCAGCGCCTCGGTGCTAGGCTGTCCTTAGCGTCCTGAGAGCTCCTGTTAGCTGATTTCATCCCCTAGCAGCCCTAGGATATAGGCACTGCCATCCCTCAGCCCCCCACAGGCACTCAGGCAGCAAGAAGGCCTGAGATGCTGGCGTGAAGAAAAGCTGTGCCTTCTTTGGGGACCAGTCTTGGCAGTTGGAGTGGAGCAGGACCAAGTCTTTCCATGACCTGAGCAGGGCCCAGTGCTCCTCCTTCCTGCCTGCCTTCCTCCATGGATCCAACTCATGCCTCTCCTCCTAGCCTCACTCTTCTTTCTTTTTTAAAAAAATATTTCTTATTTATTTATTTGGCTGCACCAGGTCTTAGTTGCGGCAGGTGGGATCTGGTTCCCTGATTGATCGCATTGGAGCGCGGAGTCCTAGCCACTGGACCAACCGGCATGTCCCTCCCCGCCCCTCATCTGTAATCCCAGCTCCTATGCCTGTCCTCCTGTGGTCACAGCTTCAGCTTTGAGAGTTGGGGTTGGGTGGGGCTCCCATGGGACTGCCTCTCTGATGTTCTCTGGCTGGGTTTGTTGGGGGCCGGTCCTATTTTCCTGGCCCCCAAAGCCTTCGGGCTGGGCTGAGGTGGCCCAGGCCCTCCCTTTGCAGCAGAACTCAGCCAGGCCCCAAACGTGGGGTGAAGCAAAAAGATAATCACAGCTCTCAGATTCTCTGTCGTGCCTTGTGAGGGGTTGAGTTAATCAACCACATGTGTCTGCATGCAGTTCTTGTGTCCATCCTGGATAGACCCAAGTGTTTGAGCTTATGGGGCCTGAAGTGAGACCTCAGGAGGTGCGGGTGTCCGGAGCCTGCAGGATGACCCCCAGCCCTTGGTAGACTTTTCCGAGGCCAAAGGCGGGACTAGACCTTTCATACCCCTGAGTGGCTGGGTGGTACTGTTCCCCACGAAGGTACTGTGGTGCCCACAGGCTGTGGGCACTGTTGGGCCTCAGTCTAGTGTGGTCCCTGGGATGGGGTTGGATGGGTATCCATTTGTGGTGGAGGCCACACCTGTCTGGAGGAGTTCCTGTCTGTTCCTCCCGTCAGGTGGTGGGGGGCCCAAGGGCCCTAGACCAGACTCCACACTTTGTTTGAACCTGACTTTTTATTCCATAGATTCTTTCAGGCCTGACTGAAATCAGCGTCACAGACCTAGTCTCTGAAATCCTTTTTTTTCCCTGATTAAAAAACAAGAAGAAAATAAAAATGACTAAAATTACCTATAATTCCACTACCTTTAAAGATGACCTCTATTAACAGTTTTGTAGATTCTTTCCAGGCTTATTTATTGATTATAAAATCATGCTTCGAACTTACATACTTTTTATAAACTTTAACATTCTGTCCTGAACATATTTTCATGTAATTTAAATATTCTCCAAAAATACCACTGCTGATGAGTATTAAATTCCACTCTGTGGTTATATTGTTATTTTCTTAAGCCTGTTTTGGGACACTGAGTCTGCTGGCAGTTTTCCCTATTATAAATAATTCTGCACCAGACATTCCAGTTACATTCTGGTTACATCCTCTGGACAGATTCCTCAAGGAGGAGCTGGTGGGTGTGAGAACTTTCAGAGGGGCCCCCAGAAAGGATGGGACGCTGCACATGGACATGGGGGTGACTGCAGCCTTGCCAGTGGTGAATATAGTTTTAAAAAAAGATCTTTGCAAGTTTGGCAATGAAATGGTATGTTTAAATTCTCCATCCCATCCTTCTGTTGTGAAAATCAGTGTAGCATCCGGTGACCCACAGGTGAAGAGAGTTTGCTTTCATCAGGGCTTTGCTGTGGGCATATGCGGTGATGTTAGTGGGTGCTCCACACAGGGGGATAAGACCTTTGTACTATTTTAATTCGAATTAAACTTAGGCAGACAGGTTAAGGGCAGTAAACAGTCTAATAATACATTTTAAAGGAAAATTAGGGATTTTATGGCCAAAGACCGTGTCTGATCTTTCCCTGCCCCCCTCGCCCTAACCAGGGCGGGGGGGGCAGTGTGGACTTGGGGGTGGAGGGAGGAGGCCAGGGCCGGGGTGGCTCCGTTAGCAGGTGCCTGAGGACCTGAGTGACATCCCCCTAAGTCATCCTATTCGCTCTCAGCCCTTGCTTTCTGAGGTCAGACTCTTCCTTGGTCTTTCCCCCAAGGATGCCAGCATGAAACTCACCTTCTTACTGTTTCACTTGATGGCTGATGCTAGACCTCTGGCCTGGGTGTCCTCTGTGGGGTTGGGGGCCTTGCCGTGGCCCCTCTCGCTACACTTCTGCAGATTTCTGCTTCCAGCCAAGGCCGGAGCCCGTCCTGAGTGCAGACTCCAGAGGGTGTCAGTGCCAGCCGCTCTGGAAGCCCCAGACAAGGGAAACCATCTCAGTACGTCGCAGTTAACTGAAGTCCGTTTTGTTTTCCTCAAAAGGCAGCCTGTTGGTTGAAAGGTTGGGACCAGCTGGAGGGAGCAAGTCATGACACCTGCATCTTGGGGTAATTGGGCCCCAGCGAGCTTATTCTGGTCTCAGGCATCTTTGTGCAGTGGTGTGGGGGCAGGTGTGGGTGCTTGGGAGCGCTGGCAGGTGAGCCCAATGAGCGGAGAGCAAAGGCCATGGGCCCACTGGACGCTGATGCTCTAGTGGGTGACTGTGGCCCTCTGGGCGCAGCCTGTGGGAGCCCCCTTGGCTGTTGTCTTGCCTGCTTGGCACCCCCACCCCGCTGGCCACGTGGTCAGCCACACCCCACTTTCCAAGTGGAAACGCACCCTGGACAAGGCCTGGGTAGGGGGGCAGATGAGGTCTTGGAGATGTAGCGAGCCAGAGGACCCCAGGAAGTGAGAGGGCTAGCTGGTGGCCACCCAGCTCTCTGACTGTGGGGGGCGGGGGTGGCTGGGGGAGCGGCACTGTGGGGTCTTGAGGAGTTAGTACCAGCAATTTGCTGACCAGGCTGATGGTCCCTGTGTGTGGGGCTGGCCGCTCCTCAGTTGGAAAGGAGGGCCTTCTGGACAGAATTCAGCGTGATTTCAAGGGTGGCTAAGTTGGGCGGCTTGGCTGGGCGATTGTATTCTGTGACTTGGGAACTTAAGATAAACATTGAAGCCTTCAGAACTGAGCTTCAATCCTACTGGCATTTAAATATGAGCACCAGTCTTCTACTTCCAAACCAGAGGTCCTGGGATTTATTTATTTATTTATTTTCATCTGAAGAGTAATGTAAAAATAGTAAGTATATACACACAGTCTTCACTGTGTCAGTTAGGTAGTAAATTTAGTCCAGAGAAATGATAGCCTTTGTTTCCGATAAGTGAAGCTGGCCCCTCTGTGGCTTGGAGCATGTTATTTGATGGACTCCCTTATGCTGAGCATAGAGCGTGAATGTTCACTCTTTTCCTGTTCTGACGTGGCTCACTTTCTGGATTTAGGAATCGGGACTCACTTATGTGCCTGAGGGAGCGGCTTCTGCGGAGGCCCCCGGGCTCCAGTGTGGGCCGGAGTCGCTCGAGGGACACATCACCGCATAGTATGGAGGGAAGTGTGGTGGTGAGGAGGTAGCTTTCCTCTGCTGCCGGCTGTGCCCTTCCTTGCCCTTCCCTAAAACAGCCGTCTGCCTGCTTCTTAGGTTCGAAGGGGATCAAACGAGGTATAAACTCACGCAGACCAGCTGGGAGAGTCCAGCCTCGGTGAGCCTCGATGAAGCGCGACTGCTTCCAGTGAACCGAGTGTCTGGGGCACGCGCGCAGCCTGTGCGGTGGGGATCCCGCTCCTGCCCCCGGACCGGAGACCCAGGAGCCTGAGTCTGGGCACCGGAAGCGGCTGCTGTGACCACGCTCCGGGTCTGAGCCGTTAGTTTGGGAGGAGCGTGTACCGGGGGCAGGGGCTAGGCTGCTGGCTTGCAGCCCTGACCGCTGGCCGCCGCACGCGCCCTCCCTCTCCTCTGCTCCGTGGGGCCCCGCGATGTCTGAGCGCTTGGTCTGCACCGGCAGGGGGAGACTTCAGGGAGAGGCTGGCTTTGGGCTGGGAGGTGGCCGGACAGTGGTTTGCAGGGCGAATGGAAGGGGGCGGGGGGCGGGGGTCTCTGTCCCGGGCCCCTGGAACCCTGTGCTCTGAGTCCGGACGGCGCAGACCTGAGCGTGACCTCCCTGCGCTGTGAGCACGGGCTCCGCTCTCACGGTCACGTGTGTGGGTTGTAGGTCAGTTCGCTTGTGCAGGGTGTGCTGCCCACTCTCGCTCACAGCGGGATGTGTGTGAACATTCGGGGCCACTGCTGGCGGTGGGACCGCGTGTCCAGGCAACTGTGGCAGGAGGGCGGGTCCACAGTGACTGCATGGCTCCTGCGTTTCCGGCTCTACCGCACCTGGTGGAGGGGGAGAGCACAGGGAAACACTAGCGGAGCAAGCCTGGGTCGGGTCCTGCCAGCGCAGAATGTGTGTGGTGGTCGAGCTTCAAGGGTCAGATCCAGTCTGTGCGCGTGGCTGGGGGTGGACGGCGTTGCTGGGGAGGTGCTGGGAGGAAGTGGCAGTTGATCCGTGACCGTGACCTGCATGGTAGAGGCAGGAGGGGGACTCAGGGGAGGAGCGTGAGTGGAGGTGGAACTCGGAGGCAGCAGGCACGGTCCTTGTTGGAGGTGGAGAGTTCGGTGGTTCTAACTTCATGGCGCTGGGTGGAGGTCTGCAGACTGAGTCTCTTGCGGAGCTTCTGCCCATCTTTGCTGAAAACCGAATCAACCAGCAGTGATGGTAAAATGGGGCTGTGGGGACACCTGCCTTCCACTTGTTTTCACACCTGGTTGTTCGCCCTGGAGGCTCTGTCCCCAACTCAGGGCTCCAAGACTTGGAACTTGTTCACATTTCACAAAATGCCTAAATGCTCCAAACAGCTCATACCAGGGAGTTAGGCTTGTCACTTTCACATGGTGACAGTAGTGGCTTCTGTTTGCAAAACACTTGTAACTTTTTCAAGCTCTTCAAAGACAGTATTTAATCTCATGATCCTTGGCTTTAAGGAACAAATAATGAGATGTATGTGGAAATGTAATTAATTTCTAATGCAGCTGTTAGTTGAATATGGGATTCAGATCACAGTTTATTTTAATGTACAAAACCTGATGGGAAGAGGGGCCCTGCAGTCATCTAGGCTTCACGGTGGGTGGTTTTCTGAAGGAACCCAGGCTTTGCAGCTTGCTGTCTGGACAGGCATAATTTTGGGAGGTTAGGGCAAATGCTAGTCAAATTCCGAAGCACAAGGCAACTTGAGGGCTGATCTGAACGGTCATTTCCCCGCGGTTGTGCAGGAAGAGACGTGGGGTGCGGCAGGGTCCGTGGGACAGTGCTCTCACCTCCCTTGTTAGAGGACGCTGTGCCGGCAGCCCTCTGTGGCACTTAAATCACAGCAGGTCCTGGCACACCTGGAGTGTCACCTGGTGGTCACGATGGAGCTGACGTCCCCCTGTTTGTTCTGTGTCCTTCAGACCGGCTGGTTTTCCCCTTGTGGCTTGGATGCTGTCTTGGTGTCTGTCTGTTCAGCTGTGGGTGTGGGTTACTGCCGGTCTGCCTCCCCTTTTAACAAAGGAGTGTTTGAGCCCCTGGGGGTGGGGGGGCCCTGTCTGGTGACATCAGGCTGCCCCAGCTCTCACGGTGCCTGGCCCCCCCTGTGCCTCGACCTTGGCAGCTCCTCCTCCTCGGGTTCTCCTCTCCTGTGGCCACCATGTGTCCCTTCGCCTTCTTGGACCACGAGCAGAGTCAGGCTTGCTCTGCAGCATTCTGCTGTCTCCTTTGCAGGCCCCAGAGGTGCTGTTTCTCCCTAAGTCCAGGTGTGTCCTGAGCTGGTGATGGAGGCAGAGGCCAAAGGGTTCCTTGCGTCCCCTGCTTGGGCATCCAGTAAACCACCAGTGTGGGCTGGGTGTCCCTTGGAGGTTTTGGTGCAAAGGAAGTGCTTTCTGCCCTCTTGGGCTGTGGATCAGTACCTATCTTGAGGGTCAGTGGCACTTGGGGGTGGCCCGACCCTGAATGGCAGTGTGGGGAAATGGTCCCTCCTTGCTGAGCAGAGTGCTTGTCTTCTGTGTTGCTGGGATGTTCTCTGCTGTTGTTGGAGTGGTGACTGTGGCGAGGAGGGGCAGGTGGTCGGTGAGCTGGTGGGGGAACCGAGCGCCCCTTACCTGAGCTTCCTTCCTGTGGCTTTTTGTCACTGATTCTGGCGAGGTTTTATTGACAACCTCCTCATGATGAGACGTGGTTGGGTGCTTGGTGACATGGCCTGGGGGTCTGGCCATGTCTGAGGGACCTGGCCCTCTGTCAGTGGGGAAGGTTTCTGACTACTGAGCCTCCCACCCATGCCTGGAAAGCATAGAATTCTGTCGTGTGGATTGAAATGGGCTCTGTATTTACGTGGAGGCCTTCGCCCCTGACTCCACACTCAGGCCTGACTGGCCAGTGGTCCTCCCCAAGCCTGTGACTAGAGCCGTGTTCTGATCTCCTCTCTACGCCCAGTGATTCAGACACACAGCCAGGAGCCCCCTGGGACTCCCCCTCCCCCCTGAGGGGCTTGTTCTGCCTTCAGAATCTGCCCTACATCTGGTCACTTGTCTCTGTCACCAGTAGCTCAGTGTGTGTCCCTCCCCTGGGCTCATGCAGGGGTCTCTGACCAGCCACTCACCTCCCTTCCCCATAGTCTGGTTTCAGCCCAGTGGCTGAGTGAACCAGGCCTGGTGATTGGGCTGCTGTGCCCAGCCTGGGGGCATGACTGCTGTCTCCTGGGGCTCCCCACTGTCCAGCTCCACCCCCAGGGCTTTGTGGTTGCTACTGAGACCTCTCCCCAGGGCTGTGCGTCCGTCACTCACTTCACTCAGGTCTTGGTTGGGTGTCCTGCCCAGAGCCTGTCCCCGTTTCCTCCGCTGCCCGGGACAGTGAGCATAGGACCTGGGGAGCACAGGGCCCAGGGGGCACAGGCCGGAGCCAGGATGCAGCAGGACAGCCACTCCTGGGGTGGGGGAGGGGTGGGGCGCTGGGGCTCCCAGCGCAGTCCCCAGGGGTCAGGCCAGGCCTCTTCGTGAACAGACGGTACTACCTATCAGAAAGTCTGAAGCACACAGCCCAGGCTAGGGCCCGAGGGGGGCCTGGCACAGCTCAACTCTACACCACCCCGCCTCGCCCCCAGGTGTTTCCTCATCTACATTAACTTTCATTTGACTGTTTTCCCTCCAGTGACCTGCTCTCGCCCTTTCTCCCCCTCTCCCAGTTTAACCCACTTGCCAAATAAACTGCTGGTGAATGAAAAATTATCTGTTTCAGGCAAATTAATCCAACTGTGGAAGATCATCAGATTTGTTAGTGTTCTTGAAATCATCATAGGTAGAGATTTTTCCCTTTAGACCAGGTGTCTGTTATAACCTTGGTTCTCAGCTGTTTTCTTCTGTCCTTGGGATCAGGAAAAGTTCAAAGTAGAGAAAGTTACGACCTGTGAGTCATTTTCCCATCTTGTCAAAGAAGACTCAGCCCTGAACAGGTCCCTGGGAGCTTGACTCATCCTGCAGACACCTGGCTGTGCTTTTGTTCTGGTGTTAGATTCATCTTCTTGAGTTGTGTGGCCTCCCAGGTGGCACTAGCAGTAAAGAACCCACTTGTCAACACAGGAGACACAAGAGACCCTGGTTTGATCCCTGAGTTGGGAAGCTCCCCTGGAGGAGGGCATGGCAACCCACTCCAGTGTACTTGCCTGGAGAATCCCATGGACAGAGGAGTGTGGTGGGCTATAGTCCATAGGGTCATAAAGAGTCAGACACAACTAAAGTGACTTAGCACACACAGCAAACCTTAGTTTCAAATGCGTGAGGATATGAAAATTATTGAGTGGGACAAGGAAAAAACTTGAATAAGACAAATTCCAGTTAGTGGCAAGTAACACAGCAATTCACTTTCAGTGATGGATTTCAGCCCGTGTGTTGTGTCACAGACACTAGGGGTGTTTGTGGGTGAGGTGGGAGTCTCCCTATGTCCGGGGGACACATCTGTGGTCCTGCCTCCTCCAGCGGTGGTGGGCTGTCTCAGGGCCGAGTTCCATTCTGCCTCCATCAGGAGTCTGTTGGAACGAGGCAGGCACTGCACTTCCCTGGAGAATACTTGCAGGGGATGGGCCAGGACCTTAAGTATGGACGTCTCCAGCATCGTCCGAGGATGATTTTTGAAATCCTGTCTTTTTACCCTTTCCTTGTGTGCTACAGTGATCACTTTTATAACAAGAAAATCACTAGTGAACTTGATTTCTTCAGGCCATGGAACAAAAAGTCAGTTTCTGGAAAACTGTGGAAAACAACGTGATATGTGTCTGTTTTTAAGCATCATGGAAGCAGGAAGGAGTTGCTATGGTGAGATTTACCTTGCATGGAGAGCGGTGTCCCGAGCGTCCCATGTACACAGACTTTCTCCTCAGATGTGGAACCAGTCACACACAGGATCACGATTCCGTCTTTTTCCCTCAAATCGCCATTTGACTTTGATCTAAAAGCATGAACAATCCTGCATGCTCTCTGCAGCCTCTGCCTCTCAGCCTAAGGTCACCTGGGGTTGCCTGTGAGCCCACCTTGCATGTTGTCTGAGGCTCCATCCTTGCCCACTGAGAGCAGACTGTTCAGAAAGCTGGCCCAGGGACCTTCAATTTCCACATCCAAGTGTTTCTGCAGCCTTGTGTTGGAATGTGTGCGGGTTCTCTGATGCCCTCATCTGAACCACTTGCAGAAATCCATGGTCACGTGTCCGTAAGGTGTTCCCTTCAGTCTGTCCATGGTGCAGAACACAGCTGCTGCAGCCCCTCTGTGTGACTGGCCGCTGTTGACCTGCTGGCGTAGGTATAGGAGTGGGCGCAGTTCTGTGAGGAAATGTGGCCCATGGAGATGGAATCCCCATTTCTGTTGACGTCTCGAGCTGGGCTGGAGGGCCGCTGTGCTAGGGGCTGTCTTCTCCCAGTGTGGCGTTAGGCCAGCTTGTTCGGAGGCTCCGGTACTCTGCACCTCTGACATCCTGTTAGTCACACTTGGAAATGAGAACATTTGGACTTAACCTTGGGGCTTCCCAGGTGGCATTAGTGGCAAAGAACCTGCCTGCCAATGCAGGAGATATAAGAGATGTGGGTTTGTCCCTGGGTTGGGAAGATCCCCTGGAGGGAAAAGTGGCAACCCACTCCCATATTCTTGCCTGGAGAATCCTGTGGACAGAGGAACCTGGCGGGCTACAGTCCATGGGGTCGAAAAGAGTCGGACATGTCCGAAGCAGCTTAGCACACATGCGCTTAGCCTTGGGGTTGAACATTCCTGCAGGTAGGTCACAAACGATGTCAAGATTTTAAAAGTTAGGTTACCTTTGTTCCTGAAAGTCTATTATGTCTTTTTATCTACAGGTTCTTACTGATTTTTCCTAACAGCAACTGCTTATTCATTGATGGTAAACCAAGGAGGAGAAAGACCCAGCCAAACCCCAGGTCTCCAAACGTCATAACTAGAAACACATCCATTCTCACCACACAGACTTTCAGGTTCCAACCTGGGCAGCTTTTTAGTTGCCAGGAGGTAGTGAGAATTATGGGTTGTGTTTTCAGGGTGGCTGCAGGGTTTTAAAATCCACATCCCTGCTCCTTTCTACCATTATGCCTCGGCTTTTTTAAACAAACTTTCTATTAGTGCCATTGCAGTGACTGTTTTTACAGAGTCCTCCTGCCCTTCACCCAGCTTCCCTGACTTTGGTGCCGCATCAAAAGAAACACCACATCAGCTCACAGTGACTGCATCCCAGGTGCAATGCACACAGACTTGCTGGGTCTCACCACTGCTCCTACTAAACCCTCTCTGTTTCCAGTGGTTAGTCATTCAGTCGTGTCCCACTCTTTGTGACGCCATGGACTCTAGCCTGCCAGGGTCCTCTGTCCATGGGATTTCTCCAGGCAAGAATACTGGAGTGGGTTGCCATTTCCTCCTCCAGAGGATCTTCCCAACCCAGGGGTCTAACCAGGGTCTCCTGCATTGCAGGCAGATTCTTTACCGTCTGAGTCACCAGGGAAGCCTAGACCCAGTCTTGTATTTGTGTTGCATTCAGCCACTGCTATGTTTATTCTCCTGCTTATTTTCATCCTCTTATTATGGTAAAACTTCAAACGATGAATGTAGAGAAGAGCAGAGCATCTGAGGTGGTTCCCTCTCTCGACTGTGACCAGCCTGTGGCTCGCTCACTTCTGTCCCCACCGGAACTCACGTCCTGCTTGATGAGCTGACCTTGAGCAGTGCCCGAGGCCTCAGCGGTGCCCTTCCCACATGTGCCTGGGGGCCTGTGCGGTCCCTAAGGACCTGATGCTCTGCAGTTGCTCCTGTAACACCCTGAAGCGAGAACCGGGTTGGGTCTTTTCTTGCCTTCTTCCAGTTTCCAGGAAAAGTGCCCTGAGTGGGAAGTCGAGCAGAAGGGTTTGCGGGCAGGTGCCCTCACTCCAGGGCCCTTGCTACACTAAGTTCATGTTTCTTATTCAGCCTGAGCCCCTCCAGCTCTGCCTGACCTCTGCACAGAGCCTGACTTCTATGCCCACCTTCCCTGATCCGACTTGCCCCTCTCCCTCCAAGAGCTGTCTGTGGGTGCTTTCCCCCAGTTATGGCTGGTACCTAACACAGACATCCCCCCAGGTTGTTATCTGGCACTTGTTAGTTGAGTGAGTGAATGAACCACCAGCATATGCTTCGCCCCAAGGTGGGGATAGCTAGATAGTTCTCAGTGTTGGTCCCTTGGGGTTATTACATTTTAAGATGTTACATTTGCTTCACTGAGTTGTGGAGCTTCAGGCTGTGGAGGAGGTGGGGTGCTTTTCTTACTGGTCTTCAAGTTAAGTTAGTGTTTGTATGAAAACTTAACCCTGGTGACTAAATAAGGGAAATAGAAAAGAATGCTTCCTCTGGGCTTCCCTGGAAATGGGACCGTCTGAGGGGACAAGGGTCTTCCAGCGGGAACCGTGTGTGTGGATGGAGTAAGTCTGCTCCCCGTGAATGAAGCTTGATGAAACCTGATATGATTGTTGAAGCTCAGCTGCAGATGTGCGTTCATCCCCCTGTGGCTGTTTACTGTGCTGGGGACCCCGGCAGCACCCCAGCCCTGTGCCGGCCAGAGGACTGGCCTCAGGAGGCCTGTGGCGCCCACCTTGCGCTTCTGCAGACCCTGGCGGTGTTGCAGCTGTGGGTGGAAACTCTGCCTGGTGGGTCCTGGCAATGAGGCCCGGCCTTTTCCCTCAATCTTCTGAAGCATCAGGAGTGGATGCCGCATCACGGGTGGATGCTGACGCCTGTGTGTGCTCCTGTCACACTGTCCTCAGGGGACTCAGTCCACACCCCGCAGGGCAGAGCCTGGGGTGATGGTGAGGCGTGTGGCAACCACTGAGTCATGTGGAGACAGAAGCTGCGATGCTTCTGTCTGTGTGTGAGGGCTGGTGTGTGAGTCAGCCTGGGGGCACTCTGGAGGGAAGGGTCTGCGGGGGGCCGTCCTTGCTCATAGCACCCTCTCTGTGCAGTTGCATCAGGCTCTTCTGTTGATTTTGTATCTTGGCATTTTGCTCACTTTCTAAACTGCTGCCTGGGCTGTCAGCACTTGCCTCTTAATGGGGTCCTGGGGACGGAGGGACCAGCCGGCATCTCCCTGGGGGCCCTGGGCTTGAACCCTTGGACAGCAGGAAGTCTGTGGGGCGGCTGTGAGCAGGGTCCCACCTGCCTCAAGCATCTCAGGTGCCAGGTGGGCTGGCACCTGCAGGTGCTTCTCTAGGGAGCTGGGTGAGCTGGGGTGTGCCCTGGCACACAGCAGGGAGCCTCTCTTCTCTATGGAAAGGGTCAAGAGAGGGGCTGTCTGGGTGGGGAGCCCGGGTATCACACCTGTGCTGCAGTGCACCTGCCGGGGTGAGAAAGTTGCTGAGACACACAGCTGTTTGCCATGTGTACTTACTTGGAAACATCGCCCATAGAT